TATAGGCGGGTGCACAACGCGCGTACACTTTGCTTATTACACACACAGGGATGCAACTGGCTTTTAAAGGTGATGGGAGATGAGACTCTGATTGGTTTATTGCACATTACGCCCAAAAAACACCCATTACTCATTGAGAGAATAGGGACAACCCGTTTAGACCATGCGCGCCGACCATTTTCCCGTCGTTAAATTAGCAAAAGTGGATTCGGGCACGCCCTGAGTGCACCTGTACCGTGCGCTTTAGACCATGCGCTTAGATCGTTAAAATAGAGCCCCAAGTATTAAACTGCTATTCTGATATACAATAGGTATAGAAAAGAATCACCCCCTTTACAATAATCACAATTTGTTGCTTGGTAGCCTGAAATGAAGATGGACACAGTTTTTGTTTTAGCCAGCTGTATTTACTCAGTGCAACTTATACTATCCAAGTGAAAGATATAACACCAACATGTCAGAAAAAAAATTAAAAAGCAGAATCACTGAGATGGAAAAAGGATCACCCCCTTGTGTCAGTATTTTGTTGAACCACCTTTTGCTTTCATTACAGTCTTTAGTCTGTTTGGATATGTGTCTGTCTCTACTAACGTTGCACATCTAGACTTTGCAATATTTGCCCACTTCAAGAATTTGACAATATTTTGCCCCATCCATGTTTCCTTCTATCCTGACAAGTGCTCCAGTCCCTGCTGCAGAGAAACACCTCATAACAGGATATTACCACCTCCATGCTTTACTGTAGGAACGCTGTTATTTGGACGGTGAACTGTGTTGGATTTCCACATGACATATAATTTGGTGTTGAGGCCAAATAATTCAATTTTAGTTTCATCTGCCTCAGAATCTTCAAGGTGTGTTTTGGCGAAGCTCAGTCGTGACTGCATGTGGCCTTTCTTGATTGACTTTTTTCTTGCAACCCTCCCATACAAGCCACATTTGTGGAGAATTTGTGATATTGTTGTCACATGCACACAATGAGCACTCTTTGTCATAAATTCCTGCAACTGCGTCAGAGTTGCTGTAGGGTCTTGGTCGCCTCTCTGATCAGTTTCTTCCGGCTCTTTCATCCAG